CACCTATGCGCAGGCTCGTTGAAAGTCAGCCTACTTGAGCGTGCTTTTCCAACTATAATTATTATCGACAATCGCGCTTACCCTTAATCTCTGTTACCTCTTTCCAGCTTAATCGTCGGTCGCCACTTCGTTTTACCGTATCCCACGAAGAAGGTCGAAATAATGCAACTGCCACCGATGGTCGTCTGGTGCCTCGGTGTGATTTCCAGCAGCTTGCATCCAGAAGTTTCACCCCGGATAATTGTATGACACGATAGCATGCGGGTACGTAGCGGGAATCGTGTGGGCGCTTTCAATTCACTCACTGTTTATTTGTTTTAGTCTTGTTTATTGATTATATGTCTCATTAGCGCACAACACACATTCACATCCCACTAACATTCGTATGCACGCAAGTTGCACGATCCGCGAATCGCGGTCGCGTCTTCGCCTCAGCCGTTATCGCTAATGTCGTCGGCCAAATAACGACTCAGCCGTAGGCACCACGGCTCGCGTTCACGACGGTTTTCCAGGACGGCAGTGAGTCGGTCTCACCACACGTCGTACTCTCATGTCAAAGAACGGCCGAGAAAATCGTATCTTATCACGCTTACTTTTCGCGTGACTACCGGGTTTACACAATAACGTCGTGTTCGATTAATTACGCGTTCGGAATCTTTCACTGTAATGCGGGACTTTTCCTCACGTCAGGACTTCGCAACGGGTGTCCTGTTCTTTAGTACGCGAGTAAAGACGGAATAAGACCGTCCAGACGGAAAAGACTGAAAAGACTCTTCCGACGGGAAAAGACGGAAACGACCGTCCAGAGGAAAAAGACCACGAAATGGCGCGCGAGCCGATTATATACCATCCCCTCCTTTAGTGGGGTGATCGGCTCGACCAATAGCCAAAATGCTTTGCAAATGTGTGCCACGATGCGGTATCACTCCGCGGCATCTCGCGCCATCCCGAATGGTCACTGGAAATGTCGGCCTCAACTCAACATGGCATCCGAAGCTCATGCTGTTGGTAACAACTAAATATGTCGGCCGCAACTAATCATGTCGGATTGTGGCGTTTTCCCGCCAGAAAACTTCGAGAAGGTTCTCGAAGCTTCCCTCAAAGTGGTTCCCTTTATTTGTACTTATCTCTGAAACTGATTTGTGGTTAATCTCATGCTTCCACTTTCCTCGGGTCACCATCGTATCTCAAATGTGGATTAATCTTATTGAAATCATAATTTAATATAACAAACTCAAATTGTGACTAATTGTGGGTATTTTCTTCCAGGTTCCCGAGGCAATTCAATCTGGATCGGATCTCTGTGGATCGAAACTATGGTAAGTATTTTAAGTAGCACTAATTGTAGTAAAATCATAATAATATTCTCTTTTTCAGGATCTCTTCAAGCTGATGCGGTAACTCTTTACTTAAGGTAAGTATGTAAACAAAATTATTGATTTTATCTCTTCTAATTCTTTCCTTTGTGTTTCAGGGAACGACTTTGGGTTTCATATCACTGTTCTTATCAGGTAAGTGTAATAATACTTTTATTGAGTCATTCATCCATCCATACACATTCATGTGCGCGTCTATATTATGGTTTACATTGAATCTGTTTCTTGAACCTGTATATAAAATATAATAGAAATGGTAATATAATTAATATAAATTCGTATGCCCTAACGGGTCTTTACAACTTTGAACCACAAATTAAATCTTTCGCTAACCAAAATTAAAACAATATATTATTTCACCTCAACGCAGTTACAATGCTATCGGTTTTCTCTGTGGCCTTAACAAAAAATTAACGACTTTGAACTAAATGTAGTATAATAAAACGTAATCTAAATAATTCGATAATAAAATGATAATATAACGTCTCTTTCGGGTTTTATTCCTCCACGTTCTTCGGTTCATCCACCTTTTCCATTTCCGGTAGTAGTATGTCCGGGATTGGCATACCCGCCATCGCCCGGGCAATCCGTAACTCTATGTCTCCATAGTCCATTTCTTTATCCACGTTTTGTGGCTTTTCCTTCTCCTCGATCTGTGGAGTCGACTCCTTTCGCTGCTCCACAATCGCGACCGTTGCAGCCGACGGCAAAGTTGGTGACGGCTGCAACAGGGTGGACTCGGATCACTTGCTGTTGGAGGTGGAATGGAAAAAAGAAGAGGGAAGAAGAAAAGGGACTCTACAAAAGAAGAATAGGGAAGAAGAAGAGGAAGAAATAGAGATTATAGTGTCGAGGAAGCAATACAAGGATATAAGGATATGACAGAGAAATTGAGTAGGAAGGAAGCTGAGAGAGACAAGGAAGAAAATTCGGTAGAAGACAAATGGGAAACAATGAAGAGGATAATATATGGATCATTAGTAAAGAGAACAATAAAGAAAAGGAAAAGGGAACAGATCGGAAGAGCACACGT